ATCCTCCTTGTCGGCAAAGTATGGCTTAAGTACACCAACATGAAGGACCTTGTGGATTTTGCACCATGAAGGGAGTGCAACTCTGTATGCGACTCTTCCAATCCTCTTCACGATGGGTAATGGTCCAATATATTTTGGCACCAATGTTGAGTTTAACCATTACCAAATCTCCGACGTTAAATTCAAGGGAATGGCTCCTTAGATCTACAGACTTTTTGTACCATTTCTAAGCTTTATCAAGATAACTCCGAGCAATTTTAAGGTTTCGTTTCCACTATTGAGAGAAACTTTTTGCTTGAGGGGATTTGGTACTTTGATCGATATTCACGGTATGAGGGAGTAAAGTTTGCTGGCTAGTAGTAATCTCAAAAGAACTTTTATTGGTGGAAGAGTTCTTTTGGGCATTGAAACATATCTGAGCCGCATTCAAAAGATTCGGTTGGGACATACGATATAGTCCTCTGGTAGGAGGTTTGGCACCTAGAACAAGTTTAATTTCATGATCAATTGCCCTCCTTGGTGGCAATTTCCTTGGTAACTCACCCATCCTACTGTCCTCAAATTTCTTAATAAGCCTTTGACATGTTTTGGAATAGGACCAGTCGCCTCTTCAATTTCCTTTAATCGATGAATGCACAAAAATGAGAGTTCATTCACTTTGAAACCCTTACTCCATTGCATGGCCGAGATACTCCGTCGCCCATTTTCCCCGATTGGGTAGTGATGACGCACTGTTTACAACTCATCATCATCAATCAATCGGAATATGACAACACTGTTGTCTTAGTGTCCTAAAAAAATTCCAATCCTAAAATAAGCTTGAAGTAATCCATCTGAACTGCAGACAAGTTTGTCCTTCCTTCGAAAGGACCTCGTTTCGAGCAACACAGATTTCGCTACTCCAATTATTGGTTGAGTAGCGGAGTTGATTACTTTGACCTTTCCACTACCTTTCTCCAGAACAAGTCTGAGTCGCTCCACTTCGGTACTTGCAAGGTAGTTGTGGGTACCACCGGTATCTAACATAGCCCTGATTGGCTTTCCATTGATCTTCACATCAATGTACATTAGGCTTTTCGCTCTACAAATGCAAGTCTTCGATTCTTCC